CAGGGCCATGAGGACCGACTGGACTATGAAGTTACATGCGTTTTTTTCGAGCAGGACGAGCATTCGAGTTACTGTTTAGCGCATCCCTCACACGGTTCGTGGCCCCCCCTCCTCCTCCTCCTTTTCCTCTCCTCCTCCTCCTCTTCCTCCTCCTCCTCCTTCTCCTCCTCCTCCTTCCCCCCAGCAACCGCCCAGGCCCGAGCTTCCCCGAGTCGCCGAGATTCCAAGCTTTCGAGCCTCTTCGAGGCACCGAGCTGCACCCCCCCCCCCCCCCCCGGGGCAACGAGAGGGGGGGATAAGACATAGGTCAGGGGACGCATCGGTCCCCAATCGCCCATTGATCGCACGGTGTGTTTCGATAGCCCCAACCTGCCCAGGAACGTGCGGATTCAAGATCGGGCGCCCATCGCCCATGCATCGGCAATGTATCGGCGATTTCAGGTCGACTTTCCCCCCCATTGCCTATCCCAACCACATCGTTGCCCCTGCGTGTGTCGCGAGCCTCAGCCATTTCCCGTGCTGCCGAGCGCGCCCAGGCGGCAACCCAGCAGGTCGCGACCCTGCAGGGGGTCGGACGCATGGCCAAGCAGAACGAGAAGATCCCCGACCAACTGTCCTGCATCGCGGACAGGATCGCCGTTGCCGAAAGGCGCCAATGCCAATCGAGCGCGCAAGGCACTGACGCAGCAGGAATGACGGCTTGCTTTTTCAAGGTGGGCAGCGCCCTTCGGTCGGCGAGCGCCCAGCAAATCGCCGTCGAGAAGGTCTACAGCGGCGGCTTTCTCGAGTGCATCCAGTGCGGGCGCATGTCCAACGATAATGACAAGAGGCTCGTCGAGCTGGCGGTGGCGCCGCCCTACAAGACCCACTTCGAGAAAGACGCCCGCCTCCACGACATCTTCGAGAATCACGGAGAGCCGCCCGAGAACCTCTTCTGGTTCATGCCGAGCTTCAAGTCGAAGGTGATCGAGCTTGCCAAGAAGAAGGACACCGAGCTCGGCACCGAAAGCGCCCAGCGCCTCTGCTTCGGCCCCACGCCGAGCGCGTCGGCAAGGCCCCCCTTCCGATGGCCCCCTCCGAGCTCCTCAACTTGCACGACCTCGCGCCGCCGATCGACGAGAGCTTCGAGCCTGTCGAGAAGATGCCCGAGGAGTTCTCCTCCTGCGTGCCAAGCGATCAGCGCTTCGAGATGATCCCCCACATGGTCAAGCAGTTCGCCCACTGGCGCCGCGACAACGGCGCGGCGCAGGGCGTAGACCACGCGCGAGCCACCGCGCATGCGGTCGTCAAGTGGCGCTTGGGCCCCAAGCGCACTGCCGACGTTCGCCGAGTGGTTCTCATCGAGCATCAAGCACGCAAGCGGGCTCGATCTTGCATCCTCGGATCGAGGATCTGAGGTCTTGAGTCCGAGCATATTCGAGCGCCTGGGACCCTTGATTCTAGGATCGCCAAGCTTGGACTCGAAGATCTCGGATTTGCGATCCGAGGATCGAAGATTGAGCCTCGGCGATCGTCGATCGTCACCGTCGCCGTCGTATGGGCCCAGGCTGCCATCATGGAGGCTCCACCCTCGATCCTCGGATCGAGGACCCGAGATCTAGGCCCCGAGCAGCTTCGAGCGCCTTGGATCCTAGTTCCAAGGGTCGCCACGCTTGGACACGAAGATTTCGGGTCCGCGATCGGAGGGTCGAGGATCGAGCTTCGGCGATCGTCGATCCCCCTCGTCGCCGCCCTCGGGCCCAGACCGCCATCGCACAGGCTCAATCCTTGGATCGAGGATCGAGGGTCCGAGATCTCGGTTCCGCGCACCTTCGAGCGCCTTGGATCCTAGGTCCGAGGATCGCCGCGCTTGGACTCGAAGATCCCGGGTTCGCGATCCGAGGATCGAAGATTGAGCCTCGGCGATCGTCGATCGCCCCCGTCGCCGTCCTCGGGCCCAGACCGCCACGAAGGAGGTTCGACCCCCGGTCTTCGGATCGAGGATCCGAGATCTTGGCTCCGAAATGATTCGAACGCCTTGGATCCTAGATCCGAGGATCGCCGCGCCCGGGCTCGAAGGCCTTGCATGGTTTCGCGATCCGAGGATCGAGGATCAAGCCTCGGCGATCTTCGATCTCCCCCGTCGCCGCCCCCGGGCCCAACCTGCAATCGAGTGGGCTCGATCCTTCGTCCTCGGATGGAGGGTCCGAGATCTTGGTCTCGAGCATCTGCGAGCACCTCGGATCCTAGATCCGAGGATCGCCAAGCTTGGGCTCGAGGACCTTGGGCCCCTGTTCCGAGGATCGAGGATTGAGCCTCGACAACTTGCGGCCACGCGCGCACGCGCGCGCACGCATACACGCACACACACACACACACACACAACAAAAGCACAAGCAACAGCAGCCTCAACAGCAACAGCAACCAGCAACACAGCACCACCAACAACAACAAGCAACAGCAAGTACAACAACAGCACCGGCACACACATTCAACACACACACACACACTCACAAACACT